CGTCCTGCTCTTCCTGGCTGCCATGCTCTTCATCCTCATGAACTGGTACTACCGGACAGTGTGAGTAGCGCTCGGGCTCTGCCCTGCTGGCAGCAATCCCTGCCCTGGGCCGGGGGGACCCATGTAGCTGCTCCTGGCGCTGGCAGTGCCAGCAAGCAAAGGAGGACATCAGCTTCCCACACCTTCTGCAGCGGGGCTCAGCCCAGGTTCAAAAATTACACCTCTTCCCGCAAAATATACAGTTTTAATACTGATAGCACCTCTCCCCGCCAAACTCACCGTCCTTATAGATAGAGGGGCTGTTTGCAGGGTTACTGCAAATCTGTGTTCCCCTCTCTTTTCGAGCATCATCTTTATTTTCTTCCCTGATTCGCTGTGTTTCTTTTGCAGGCACAAAAGGAAATTGAAAGCCATAGTGGCTGGCTCCACCGGTGAGCAGTGTTTGGGGTTTTCCAGCTGCATGAGACAGCAGGGTGCATGAAGAGCACAGAGGGGGTACACAGGGGATGTCAGCAGGGTGTAAATCAGAAGCGATCCTGCCCAGCAAGGCGCGATGGTGGGAGGCTTTTCTCAGCATCCAGGGTCCGCATTATCAGCTGCATCCCAGCGTGTTTGTCATGCCACCGGTGCCTTTCTGGTCACCGAGTTTCCATCCCCGATAAAGAAGTGCCGCCCCATGGTTTGCTGCTCAGCCTGCCGCCTTGCTGCCCTGTAACCCCCACCCCTGCCTTTTTGCAGGGAACAGAGGCTTCATGGACATCATGGACATGCCAAACACCAACAAGTACTCATTTGATGGGTGAGTTCTTCCCATCCTTTCCCTCCCCGGCTTGCCACCTTGCGGGATTGCATGCTGCTCCCGAGAGGGGGATGCCTGAATTTTGCAGCCCGGGATGCGCGGGAGGTGGAGACACGATGCCTCTCTGCTCTGCGGAGGGATGGGGCCAGGCATGCCGTGTAGGGCATGACTCTGGCCCTGGGACGCGTGCTTGCCTTGAGAGCTTTCAAAGCCAAAAGACCTTGTGCCTTCTCCTGTGACTCCATCTCTGCCAATACTGGCCAGGCTCAGGGTAAGCGGAGATGACGGGCGGGTGACGACACACATCTGGATCCAGAGCAACCGAATTCATGCCTGCACAGGGCAGGAGGAGGCAGCGCAACCTCAGCATCCAGGCTGTGGATGGGGTTAGGGATGCTGCCGCTCTTTGCTTATGCTGAGGGCTGCTCCTCTCCCCTGGGCAGGGCCAACCCGGTGTGGCTGGACCCCTTCTGCAGGAACATGGAGCTGGCAGCGCAGGCGGAACATGAGGACGACCTGCCAGAGAACCTGAGCGAGATCACTGACCTCTGGAACAGCCCTGCTCGCACCCACGTGAGACACGGCCCCCACCGGGACACCTCCTACCCGCACCCGTCACCCACACCGCCTCCTCAGCCGCTCTCTCTTCCCCCAGGGGACCTTCGGGAGAGAGCCCTCGGCGGCCAAACCCGAGGATGACCGCTACCTGCGGGCGGCCATCCAGGAGTACGACAACATTGCCAAGCTGGGGCAGATCATGCGGGAGGGACCCATCAAGGTGAGTGATGAGTGCGGGCATCCTCCACCGAGGGGTGTTCTCCTACCGCTCCTGCTTCCAGGTTCATGGCTGCGGCGCCAGAGGGTGATGTTCCTCCAAAAAATGCTGGGATGAGGCCAGCCTCCCTCTGACCAAACCGTCTCCCTTGCGTAACCCATCATCTCTCCCCCTCCACCCAGGGCTCTCTCTTGAAGGTTGTCCTGGATGATTACATGCGCTTGAAAAAACTCTTTGCCCAGCGGATGGTGCATAAGGCCACCGCCAGTCAGGGGGACCGCTCCTCGGTCTCGGAGGTAGACGGGACGTGCATGGGCATGGGGAGATGCTTGCCGTGCCCTCTGGGATGCAGTGTGTCTTCCTGGCCCCGCAGGCTGCGGTCACTCCCCATGGCCGCTGTCCCCATCACCCAGTGGTCCCCCCACTCCCTGCTTGGCCAAAATGAGCCAGGCGCTGGTTTTCCACTGAGCCTGCCTGTTCCCTGCAGTGCTCCAGCTCTCATGACCCTCTGTGATTCCTCTGAGCATCGGCAGCACCCCCTTCCTCTGTCTCTCCCACCCTGGGGGAGGACCCCCCCTCTTCGCAGGGTGGGCTCTGTCCATCACCTCCCCATCTCTGCCGAGGCTGGCCAAGAAGTTGCAGGTCCCTGCACACATGCGGGGACAGCTTTCCTCCTCTCTGCTCCTCTGAGCTTATCGACCCAGCAGGTTTTTGAGGCAAAAAGGCTGGGACAGATGGTTTTGGTGCAGGAGGGCTGATGTGGGGAAAAAACAGTTCCTCCCGCAGCCTTCTCCCTCTTCATGGGGAGCAAAACAGGGGGCAACAGAGTAGAGGAGAGCAGTGGAACAGGAGACGCCTTTCAGCCCTTCTGCCCCCCAACCCCCCAGCCCATTCAACCTTCCCTTGACGCCTTTCCTTGTCTGCTTCTTGCCCCACCACCCTCATACAACCCCAAATCCCAGCCTGGGTCCAAAACCACCCCCTTGGCAGCTGCGGGGGCCGCTGCAGGACATACCACCCGGGTGGCAGCCAATGCCCGAGCCAGGGCACCCACCCGACAAGCAAGTGATCTGGCTGGAGGTCGTCATTGCGCTGGTGGTCCTCCTCACCACGCTCTGAGGTTGCTTCGGAAGAGGAGGGTCCCGTCCCTCCTGCTGGGCTCTGGCATTGCAGGAGGTTCGGAGGCAGGGAAGCCAGGATCTGGTCTGGCCGCAGTGGTGATTCTCCCTGCTCTGTGGACCTTTTGCAGCTGATCCAGAAGGAGCTGGAGGAGGAGGAGGAGGAGCGCAGCCCCAGCCAGGGCAGCCTCCGCTTCCGACACAAGCAACCGGTGGAGCTGAAAGGTCCCGACGGCATCCACGTGGTGCACGGCAGCACAGGCACGCTGCTCGCCTCCGACCTCAACAGCCTGCCCGAGGATGACCAGAAAGTGCTGGGTCGCTCGCTGGAGACTCTGACCGCCGACTGCGGGGGCTACAGCGACCACAACGCCCGCACCGAGTCGGCCAAGTCCACCCCCCTGCACAAGATGCGGGAGGTGATCATGGAGAGCCCGCTGGAGATCACCGAGTTATGACGAGCGGTGGTGGTGGTGCTCCTCTAGGCAAGCTGGGGCCGGCGGGGATGAAGCACGGACCAGGGGGCCGTGGCGGGGGCCGGGGGCACCCCGAGACCAGCGCTTGGCCCCCCCTTCCCCTGCAGAAGGAGTGCAGGCCAACCGATGCAGTTCGCTCGGGCAGCCTTGGAGAGCTTGGCCCCGGGAAAGGGCTCTCAGGACCGGTATGCTTTTACTCACCTGTCATTTATCCATGAAAGCATTAAATTTTTTTTATTTTTCTTATAATTTTTTTTTTTAAAAAAAGAAAAAAAAGAAAGAGAAAAGATAAACAAATCCAATGAGTCCAGGCTGGACAGGGGTGAAGGTGCAGTGAAGGTGCGGATGATGTGCCGCTGCAGCATCCCCAGGCAGAGGCTGGGGACAAGCAGCCGTCACACCTCAACCACGGGCATGGGGAGGGCCGGGGCAGCGCAGGGAGAGGCCAAGTCCATTTGGCATTACCGTCACCTTTCCAGCAAGGAAAGACCCCCTCAAAAAAAAAAAAAAAAAAAACAAACAAAAACCGAAGACATTTCTCCATTTTGCTGGCTTTACCAAAACATGTTGCGATGTCGAAAAAGAGAGAGACTGACAATAACTGGGGCTTCTGGATGTGGAGTGCTCGTGCGTGTCTTTTCTTGCCCTTTTCTTTCCCCTTCTCTCTTGCTTTCGGGTTTGTTTGTTCGGGGGTTTGTTTCCAATCGTAACCTTTGTGGAGAGTTTCGGGCACGGTCTGTTACGGGACTCAGAAATACACTGTCTATGGCTTTGGGTAATCTGTCTGTCGTCCTTCCTCCCCTGCCACGCCGCACCAGATTCATCATACCCAAACCACCTTTTGAAGAGAAAAAAACCCTTTTTCCATTAATTCACCCCTCAATCCATCATCTTCGCAAGATACCACCCCGGGTATTGCTGCAGCCCGGATTTTGGGGGAAGCATCAAACCTCCCCCAGGTTTGCCCCCCCTTGCTGCACCGCCAGCCCCCAGGAGAAGGAGAAAGGAGACAACCAGCCGGGCTCACGGGAGGAGTTTATTTGCAGTGAGATGCTCCCGTGCACACTCAGGACCGTGGGCATCCCCCCTCCTGCAGCAGGGGGGGACGAGCCAGCACCCCACTGCCCCTCACAGCCACGGCTGGGCTGGCACAGGACCCCCCCCGGTGGGCATGTGTGCATGAAAGGAAATCTTTGCCCCCAAGCTCACTCATTTTTTGGTTCAGGGGATACTTAAAATATATCTATATCTCCAGCAGTCAGCCGGACACAAAACCAGTGTACTGCAAATGTCATGCAAAGCCGGGCATTGCAGGTAAATTTAATCCACTTTGTTTCTTTAACTGGTGACCAGGGGGGGAAAAAAAAAAAAATAATAAAAAGCCACCCCAATTTGAAGAGGGACCAGAAAAGGACTGTGCTTGCCAAAAGCCAAGGGACCTGCGGCGTGAGACTGCCAGCAGCCAGGACTGGGGGGGGATCCGGTGTTTGGGCAGCAGAAACCATCCCAGCCCGTGGGGATGGATCAACATTGCAGGATCTGGGCTTTACGAGCGGTTCAGGGGGGGATGGGGATGGGGATGGGGATAGGGATGGGGATAGGGATGGGGATGGTGGGATTTTGCAGGCAGCCTCAGACACAGTGAGGCTGAATCCTCAGTCCTGAAAATACTAACGAGTCCCTTAACCTGATTTGGAAATCCAAGCCCCAGGGGTGGAAAAGGAAGTGGCAGAGGTGGCTGGGGCACCCCACAGCCTCCGCCGGGGTGGTGAGGCCGGTGGGCTCCTGCCATCGCTGTCCACAGGCACAGGCGCATCCCAAGGGAGGGGGTCTGGGATCCTGAACCAAAATGGCAGAGCAAGCCCGACCGGCCGGGGAGGTGGCTCCTAGTTCCATAGGTGACGCCGGCAGTGCTCGACAGCCTGCGGGAGAGATGGGGAGGGATGGCGGGGGGAGACAGGGACCCCCAGCACCCTGCCGACCCAGGGGAGGGGACACGGCCAACACTTACGTGGCACTCGACCGCTGTGGCCATGTTCTTGCACCAGTAGTGCGGGCCCCAGGCACAGGGGTCCGAGCCCAGGAGATCCTCCTCAGGTGAGTCACAGGCTCTTATTTTCTGCATTGTGAAGGAAAAGGATGGGGGGGGGGAACCCCCATGAGCACTGCTAGGCTTGGACTAAAGATGCCCATGTGCGTCCGGGCTGCAGCACCCATGGTACGGGGATGCTTACAGTGCAGACGAAGTTGGGGTCCATCATCTGCACGAGAAGCCGCACGGCCGCTGGTTCGTACTGCACCACGAGCGCTTCGCACTGGGAAGGAGAAAGGGGGTGAGGCCGGTGTCGGGGGCGGGGGTCCCCGCTGGGATGGGCACTAACCCCCCCTCCCAGCTCACCGTGCCGGTGAACGGCGCGGGCAGAAGCTCGCAGCCCTTCTCCAGCACGTCACCCAGCTCCGCCAGCGTCTCGTTCTTCAGCAGCTCGTTATCAAAGTAGGTGATGACAATCTGGCAGACGTTGCAGAAAGCACCCGCGCCCACCGCCAGCTGCTCCAGCGCAGCAGTCCCTGCGGGACATCATTGAAGAAGGGGGGGCATTAGCACCCTTCTCCTTGGGGACCCGGTGTCTGGGTGCCACCCAGGTCCCCCCCAGCTCACCTCGGTGGGCGTCCCCGGCGCGGGGGCAGCAGCGCAGCATGGTGCAGACGGCCACCGGGTCGGTGGCCTCCAGCAGCATGATGACCACGGCTTTGCCGTAGGAGTCGACAAAGTCCTTGCACTGCCCGATGACGCCGTGGGGCAGCATGTAGCACACCTTCTCGATGTCGTTCACCAGTTGCTCCTGCCGGGAGAAGGCAGGCAGAGGGAAACCAACCCCCCCCTCCCCGCTGCTACCTTTGGCCCCCCTCTTTCCCAGCCCCGTCATCCCCGGACCGCAGCGGCGAGGCTCACCTCCGTCACGTTGTTCTCCAGGAGGCTCTCGGCCGCCTTCACGGCAAACTGGCACAACTCACACAGCGGCGTGGTCCCCTCCCCGTCCTGTCGGGACAAGGCAGTGGGATGCACGCCGAGCCCCCCCAGAGCCACCTCCATCCCACCCAGCCATCAACCCTCCACAAAAGACATTCCACACCTTGGAAAAATGGAGATGCTTGAGGAAAAAAAAATAATGCAAAATTAAGCTCCCCTTTCCTGGAGTTAGTTTGGATTTTAAGGTGCATGGAGGAGTCGGGGGGGGGGGAGGCCCTGCTTACCCCTAGCGTGCTCAGGACCTCCGTCACCTTCTCCGTGAGCAGCGTGTGGAGCGGCAGCGCCGAGGCAGAGGAGCAGAGTCCCAGCTGGCCACACAGCTCCATCGGGTCCTGGGGGGGGAGAGAGAGAGAGACATCCCAAATCAGGTGGGCATCACCCCCCCGAGAGGGTGAGCCTGTGCCCCCCACTTCCCCATGAAGGGTGATTTCAGCCCATCGGGGCATGAATCTCATTTACCTCAGCCTGCTGCCAGTGGAGGGGCCAGAAAATGGCAGGAAAAAATGAAAATACAGAAAGAATTACAGCAGTTGCAAGCCAGAGAGAGGGGAAAGTATTTTAAAGTTTGTAGGAATATAAAGCAGTAGGTTTAAATAAAAAAATGAAAGCAGGGCCCCGCATTTGCTGATGAAGTCCCCTTGGCTGTGTTGCTCGTGTCCCCCCCCACTCACCAGCACCCACCCACCCCTGGCAGCCCCTCACCCGCTTACCATGTACTGGAGCAGCCGGGCAGCCGTGTCCGCATATTCGGCCAGGTAGCCCTTGCACTGTGCGGGGAAGACACAGCGTCAGTGCCCGAGGGCAGACACCCCACCACCCTGCCTGCACCCCCCCCCAGCCCCCTGGGTGCTGCTCGAAAGCAGATGGCTGCAAAAGATGCGCCCGTGCCACGGTGACATACAGGAGGAGGAGGAGGGAGCCCACGGGGTGCTGGCACCCTTTACCTCCCGTGCCAGGTCGGGTGCCAGGTCCTCGCACGCCTGCTCGGCGTGGGCTTTCAGCATCTGGGCGAAGGTGGCGTCGGTCCCCAGCTCCAGCTGCACGGCTGCCACCAGCTGCAGGCAGTGCCCGCACACCTCTTCCGTCTCCTGCGGGACAACATGGGCAGGGACACATCAGTAACCCCCCCCAAAATATAACCGAGCACCCCCAATGCCCGCATTTGCAGAGCTGGGATTTAAATGCCAGTCGCAAGCTGGGACAGCTTTTTGCTCCCCTCCCTGCATCTTGCAATATCCCAGCCCCAAACTGGTGGCACCCCTAATAGATGCCATTTCAGCTGTGCGGTAATTTTAATTTTATTTTTTTTTAAATTATTGTTAAATAGGTGATACTTAGATGATTCTCGCCCTTGAGTAGCATCAACGGCGTTCTCGCCTGTGCCACAGTACCTGGTCCTCGCCATGAGGCAGGTCCTGGGGATGGAGCAGGAGGGGCACATTGGCGATGAAGGGGGAGACCAGGTCAACGAAGTCCTGAGCGGGGCCCGTGGGGGCCGGCGGCGGCTCCTGAAACTTCAGGGCCCCCGTGGGACTTTCCCGGGGCTGGCACAGCTTGATGGTCCCGCACACCACCTTTGGGTCCGACTGGGGGAGCAGAAGGGTGGGGGGCTTAGGGGGCCACATTTGCCCCATCACCCTGCTCCCCCCCATCCCTGGGTCATTTCCATCCCCATCTCCATCTCACAAAGGTTTTGTCCCAGGCTCCAAGAGCATCCCTTGCCCTGCAAGACCCCAAGACATCCAAAACCGTGGGAAAACGCAAATCCAAGGGGGGGGGTCCCCCAGCTGGTTACCAGCACTTGCTTGCCCAGTTGGATGAGGATGAGGATGCCAGTGTCTACCATCTTCTTGCACTTGACAGACCAGTCCTGGAAGGGCAGGTACTGGCACTTCTTATCCAAGAAGAGACGCAGCTTTTCCTAGGTGATAAGGGAAGAATTGAGGGCTGGGCTGACCCCACGGTGGAGCGGGGAACATGCCAGCCCTGCCCCAGCCCTAACCCACCTCAGTGCGGTTGTCCTGCAGGATCTTGCCCACCACGGAGACCACCACCTGGCACAGGTGACACGGGATCCCCTTCTGCTGAGAAAGGGGACGCGTTGGGATGCTGCCACAGCACCTGGACACCCCCCACACACACTTGCTCCCCAAATCGTAACCCTTCATCCCCAAAACAGCCCCTTAGTGGGCACTTGGGAATATCCCAGGGTACCCGCTCTTTGTCGCTCACCTGCAGACACATTGCTGCCCAAGAACATCAGCGGATGCTCCTCTGGGTGCTCAGCACTGGGGCGGGCAGGCTGGGATTCTCCCCCCAGCCCCATGTTTTGGGGCAGGATGGACACATCCCTCCCTCCTCCTGCATTCCCCCCCCCCAGCGTGGTTACCCCCAGGCCCTGGTCCCAGACGGTGATCCGGCAGAGCTGCAGTGCCCCACATTTGGCCGCCGTCACCACGTCCCGGCACCAGTCCTCCGGTCGCTCGCTGCATTCGTGGAGGGGGCTGGCCCCGGCTGCAGGTGGGGTAGGAGACCGTCAGCCCCTGGGGCACCCTGAGACCACCTCCTGCCCTGCACCGACCTCCCCACCAGTGCCCCAACCCCAGCCCTGCCCCACGAGCCGAGGGCGATGGTCCTCACCCTCCCGCTGTGATTCACCCTCAGCTTTTGCAACGGTGGTTGGGTTTTATAAATTATTTTTTTTAAAGCCAGCAAAGGCCGGCTTTGCCGGGCCACCGCGTGCTGCCAGCTTTTCCAACGGGTTATCACAGCAGCTTTGGGCCAGCATCAAAAGCAAAGCGAATTTGGGGATCATCCTCAGCCTCGCGGCACCCTTCGACACACTGGGGAGGCAACCGGTTATAAAACCAGTAATAAATCTTGCAAAACGAGCAAAGCGGGGGCGCCGGCGCTCGGCCCCGTGCAGCAGCTGGTTAGCCACACCGCGGCTCCCGGCAATGATTGAGCAACCCCTGTTTTGGGTGGTTTTCTTTTCATTTCCTCCCAACGACAGCGTTTTCTCCTGGCTGCAAATCCCCGGCGTGGCAGCGGCAGCATCCGCCACCCAGGCAGCGCGGTGGCATGGCGCAACGCCGGCGGTTTAATTGCCACCTTGGCGTCTCAGGATTCATTCGCGATGGGGCAAGTGTTTATTCCCGCCGGGGGCTGTGCCCACTCAGGATGCGGCCGGAGAGGAGGCAAGGAGCCGGTAGAACCCAAGCCCTTTGGCTGCCCTGCTTTGGCCAGGAGCTGCTCCAGAAAGTTGGGGGGCATGTGGGGAGCAGCACATGAACAGAGGGACGGACATACCCTGCTTCGTACCCTCTTCCAGCCGGCATTTCTAAGCAAAGCACAACCCCACCAGAGCAGTTGCAGCCAGCTTTTACCACCCGGCCCTGGCCGTATGATTTTGCACAGCAGGAATAAAGCCAAAGGCAGAAACTGCTCCTTCCACCCACCCTGCCCTTACCAGGTTTCTCCCCAAAAGCTGCTTTTCCTGTATGCTGGATTCTAGCAACGCCTTCGGCTTATCCACAGGACGTGTTGGGGCAGCAGCTTGAGATGCCGGAGCCCACCCCAGCAAATCCCCAAGAGTGGGGGCCGTGGGGAAGGGGCTCCCAAGCCCCCCACCAGCCCCACCTGCTCCCAAAAGTGCTGGCGCAGCTCGGCAGGTGCCGGGTGGTGTTTCAGCCCCGATTACCCCATCGGGCTGACAGCAACACCAGGGCAGGAGCGAGCCCCGGGGCAGGGCGAGTCCCCCCCGGTTTCCCATGCACGACTTCCCACACACCTCTCCAGCAGCGCGATGCCGCAGTCACTGCATCAGCTGAGAGATATATATTTAGGTTTCTTTTTTTTTTTTTTAACCCTGGCGCTGGCATCAGGGCAAACAGGAATGGCAAGTCAGCAGAAGCGTTAAGGGGCAGCACCAAAAAAAAAAAAGGAGGAGAGGGGAGACAACAACCCCACAGGTTGTTTCTGAGCAGGTCCCACCTGACCCACAGACACAGGCATCTCTCGCAGCCCCATAAGGATGCTGCCAGCAATGGCATGGGGGGGATGAGCTTGGTCTAAAAGACACCAGTGGTTTGGACTTGCACCTTTCTGGCTCACGGTGGCTCCCAGCTCAGCGCTTACTCAAGCTGAAACTCGGGCAACAAGTGCTGGGCCAAAAAATAATAAATACCAATCATAACACCCCCACTGCTGAAAGCAGGGGAGCTTCCCCAGCTGCAAAGCATCGCCATGGGGCAAGCAATTGGGGCAACCGGTGGCCCATGAGCTCTCCTCCACGTTTCAAAGCCATGCCAGAGCTGCCTCATGCTGACAGACACCCAGGGTGTCGGACGATACAGTTTTCGGCAAAGCCCCGGCACGGGGCGAGGCAGGGATGCTCCCACGCTGCCATGGTGGCCCCAGGCCAGCCCTATCCCTGGCTGCCAGGCCCCCAGGGTGGGGTGGTCTTTGCTCCAGGGGGGGGAATCCAGCACCGAGCTCCAGATCTGACAGGGCCATGCCAGCATTACGTAGAACCCCGGAACGCACCGGCCAAGCCGGCAGAGCCTGGCAAGCAGGTTGTGACGTAAAACCCAGGGGTGGCGGCGTGGGCCCCAGCGACCCAGTTCTTGGCCTGGCGCACGCCTCTGTCACGGCAAAAGCCATCAATACACTCTTCCCAGCATCAAAATCCCTCTCCAAGGCTTGCAGCGGCCCCCGGTCCCGCAGCCCGGCCGTGCCGTGCCATGCAGCCGAGCCACCGCTACAAGAGCCGCCCCATGGCTTCCAGGGCAGGCATCGCCCGAAGGACGGACGTGCTGCGCGTAGGTGAACTTTCCTGCTCTGCCTGTTGCCGGCTGGAGCACCTTGGCATATCCCCCACCACTGCCAGGCCACGCGTGTGCAGTCACGACTCCTTCACCGCAAAGCTGGCGCCTGGGCAGGTCACGTCAGAGGAGCCCAATGGGTCAAGCCTGGGGTAATTAGGGAGCAAAAGGGGATCTTCCCTCTAAAAGGTGGGATCTTCCCTCTAAAAGGTGTGGGGGGGTTGCCTACAACAGCAGAGCTCCGTGGCTTCCCCAGGGAAATTTCCCTGCAATAAGTCATTTCCCCTCAAGCAAGGACCAGGGATCTGAAACAGGCTTTTCCCAACTTGTTTCCTGGGGATGGGCAGGGGATGAGCTGGGTATCACTTTCTCACTCTTATCAGGGGGATACCTAAGGAACAGCAGCGTTGAGCTCACCTGGAGGAAGATTTGCTCACCCATAGCCAAAGCCCCAGTGGTGAGAGGGCTCCAAAGGTGCATAGGGCTGCAGCATTGCACCCCATCACCCTACCTGGAGCTCAGCAAGCCACAGCAGAGGAGGCTTCCTGCCTCCCACACCTTGTACAAGGTCCCTAAGGAAAGGGGCAGCTTCAGGTGGCACCGTGGTCACTCCGTCATGCAAGGACAACAACATGGTTTGCCCCAGACCACATCTACGCAGCCAGGTCCCAACGCCAAGGGCAGACGACAACGCAGCCCTCTCCCCCATCACTGCCGAGACGCCCCATCAACCAGCCTCCCTCCTTCCATGCCCCGGCAAAACAAGCTCCATCTGAATCCCCAGTGTCTGGAGAAGGGAAGGAGCAAGCCACTTTTTGCCCCAAGATCATCTTTAAGGGCAGAACTTGCAACGCTCGCGTCCAGGTGGGCAAGAGGTAAAGCAGCCGGTGGTGCTGCCTGCCCCAGCTCTCCTCTGGCCCACCTCGAACACCACAGAGGGACAAGGAAGCACGCTCTGGAGCTTAAACGCTATAGCTGGGAATAGTTTTGGGGTTCAGAGGGGATTTCTAGGCTCTCCTCAAGTCCTAGCCCCAGGCCTGGCCTTACCTTGGTAGGAGCCCAGGCACACAGAAAGGATCAGCACCCAGCCACTCCATTTGCTCTCCATGCCGTTCCTAAGATAGTCCTCAGTGGCTGGTTCGTCTCCCGTGCTGCTCCCAGACTGAGGAATCTTGGATGGGTTGGGAGTAGTGAGAACCCACACCTACGCAGGGCAATTACCACACCCCTCTCCTTACGCCTTGATTATAAAATCATCACCAACCTGCAAGTGGAGGGAGGGACCAGAGCCAGGCAGGTATTCCCGGGAAGTCAAAACCAGCCCAGAACCTGCTGCTCGACGCTAACCTCGCCCCTCCTGGCTGCAAAGGGTGGGCACAGCAGCGAGAAAACTTGTCCTAGTGCCATGGGATATAGCCATTTTCTGTGCCCTCTGCTGAAGAGAGCATCATCCCTTACAAAAAAAAAAAAGGTCAGCAGTATAGATATTAAAGACCGGCAAATTTAGGACAAGTGAATTAAAGCGTAGAGGCAGTCAAGTAGTTCACGTAAAGCATTTAAATGACATTTCATTCAAAATAAAACAAGGAATTAAAACGAAAGGAAAGCCACATTAAATGCAAGTCAGCACTGAAGCCTGATACCAAGCAGCTTCAGCAAGAACTCCCTCCAGCCTGCTCAAGGCAGAGAAATTGCAACACAGGGCTGTTGCCTCACATCAGGCATTGCGTTCATCCAGGGAAGAGAGCGACGATGGCAATCCCTGGCAAGCCTCTTGAACCTGCAACTGCACTCAATATAACAAAGGCTTGATGGGACACGCATGTTTCGAGGTGATGGCAACTCAATGGGAACCTGAATCCTGCCATTCAGCCCCAGATTCCCAGTGACATTTTGGGACATGCCTTCTCCTGGCTCTGCAGCAAAGGGGAAGCTAACAAGATCCTTCGGCAACTAGCACACAAGGAAATGAAACGCACAAACTTGTCGGTTTACAGAAGTTTTTATTGTTCATTAAGGAAGCTTTTGTGCAAAAATCAAGACAATGTTCTTTAGAAAGCAACTGCACGTGTCCCCCCAGCATAACTCAAGCAGGTCAGGTGCCACAGTCCACAGGAAGGAAGAAAACTAACAAGGCTCCCAGCACTAGCACAGGATTTCCCCTGGTTCACCTCACCTGACAGGTTGCTAGCACGAATCCTTCACTACTAAAAACCCAAGAAAATTAAAACCTTGCCAACCCATAAGAGCAAGTGTCAATCCATCCCCACCTCCCCCCCCCAAAAAATTCACATTAAGAGAATGCCATCCAGTTTAAAAGATCAAATACTGTACTACATGCCATGGTGTAACACAACCCGTACCTCCAGGGCAGCAACGTTGAAGGGAGCCCATTTCCTATCTGGCATATCTACCCCAACTGGGATACACCATTGGAACCTCTGCACAAGCCTGCCAAGACAGAAAGCTGCAGGTATTTTACAACTTTATGGGAAATTATTTTTCTTTTTTTTAAAGCCATGAGTTCTTCAGTGTTCTGTACAAATGCAAACAGGAAAGAAACTGGTATCGCTGTCTGCCACCACTGCCCAGACATTTAGTATGTACATGTAGTAACAAAAAAGCTGCAGTCGAGTGGTTTTCCATTAAACTGCATGAAAATTACTTTGCTTGCTGCTAAAGCCTTGTTACCGGAGCACCTGCCTCACCCAAGACACCACAGGAACAGTAGCAGTTGCCGGCACCTTTCTGAACAGGACTGGAATTTTCAAAGCCCCACCTCTGCCCAGCTCCTCCTTCCCAAAGGCCTCCTCAGAGCTACTTTGGTGCCTCTATTTTGGGGGTTAACTTGATCAGAACTACGCACTACATGCTGGTCAGGGATACAGAGTCCATCTCAAGCAACACGAGCATGATTCTCATCCTCAAGGCCCCTACACCTCAAGGGCCTGACTTGTTTCCAGGGTAGCAGCCTACCTTGAAAGGCTTTTGTTCAAAAGTTCAGGCCGTTTCACTGGGATGCTGCAGAGGTGTGAAAGGCAGGTTGTCAGGTATGCCAGCAGAGCTGCCAAATACCTACTCCAGTGCTCTTACCATCTGCCATCTCCGCCTGCTACTCAGATGCATTTCCCAACAAAAATGGGAACTCTGGAAAAAAATTTATACTTCAAACTACTCAGGTGAGTGTCAGTGAGAATGGGTGGCAGCAACAGAAACTGCCCACAAGCCTCATAGCGCCTCTGAAGTTTTAGATGACTGATATACACTACAAGAGGAAAAACAGATCAAGGAACAAATGGCATTTTACAATAAAACCCATTTTTCCATGCATTCTGCCCTCTACGCTGACCGCACTTTGACATATGCACAGCCCCTGCTGACTCCTTTCCCCTCCATCTTCTACCAACCCAGCTCGCTCCACCTCCTTGGCACCCGGCTGGCTGCATGTAGGACACTGCAAGACTAAGCAGAATTGAGCAACTAGGGTAAGAAAAAAGGGAGCCGGATATTCCTTAAGTACATCAGCATGCTTCAAAAGACTGAAATCCCACTGTACAGGGCTTGACAGTAGAACACCCATGCTTAGACTGAGTAGTCCAAGGAACTAAAAAGGATATGGAGGGAGGGTTTCCTTAGCTATGATAACACCACTAGCCGTTAAGTGTGGTCACTCAAATGCAAAAGCGTGGTCACTCAAATGCAAATGCACCTTTTTAGGTACCAGTTACTTTGAAAGTTAGGTGGGCACATGAAGTCCCCTCCTGTAGAGCTTTGAAAATTCCAGCCGAAGGGATTCCCAGATTCAACATTATCCCTTAGAGTTCCCCTACGGTTACACAGAAAATTAATATTCCACCCAGATGTTAAAAACGCAAAGCATGTTATCTTCCCAATGCTGACTACAGAAAGACATTTGAAAGTTTAGTTGCTATCTTGTTCTTTGTTTTTAAATTAAAAGATAATAGTCTTGTCTCATTTCACCTTCTCTGCCATTCTTCCCAGCACCTAAAAAAAACACTTCAGCCTACCAATTAAAAATCTACAACACACTGACTATTTTTAGGAGGATAATGAGTTAAACTGTACAATCAGAAATATCTTCGTTAAGTCAACAATGAAGATCTGATCCTTCAACAGCAGCACTGCTACAGAAGAGTTACAATAAAAGGAACTTGAAGGTCAAATTGTTAATGAGGCAGAGAGGAGGGACATTTGAGATACAGCTCTCCGCCAACCTCGGCCCACATTTTTAAGAGCCATGGCAAACTTTCAGAACCAGAAATTCTTCTTCTAGTTCCACACATGACGTTTGCAGTGATCAACAGCCTAAAGAAAAAGAAATAGTATATGTTAGTGGAAAAAAGCCTGGTTGCAAACAAGTGTGCATCTACACATACAATTCAACACCTTATTCTGAGCCAAGAGCTTGAGAGCAAACCTGTTTTTCTTAAAATAAGTGATTTCAGAGAGGACTAGAATAAATAACATCCTCGTCCCCACCCAGAAGCTTCAGGAAAGAACGCTGATGACCCTTAGCCGTTAAGGCCAGGCAAAGAAAGCATCAGCCCACAGCAATACTGGAAGCCAATTTTCAGAGCCTGATGAGAGGTTGTGACATGGTCTGTTGGCTGGGGGAACACAGACTAAATATAAAGCTCACATTGTACCTTACTACAGATTCTGAAATGCTAATAGACAGGTGGGGGATAGGAATGAAAGGGAGAGGAAACAGTCTGCTTTAAGAAAGCTAAGGGCTATGGAAGACCCTCCAGTAAAACTCAACCACCTCTAGCTGGTACCCTTTTGCTTCCTGAAACTGGAATTTCACTTTCGAGTGTGGTATAGAAGCCAGAAAAGTAGCTTATAAGGAGCTATCAAAGACCAATAGGAAACTTGAGGCAGAATCCTGCTTTACGTACATTGCACTGTGCAGCAGTCTCCATGTTCTTACACCAGTAGCCTGGACCCCAGACACAAGCATTGTCCCCCAGGAGAGGCTGTTTAGCTGATCCACAGACTCCAAGTTTCTGTGAAAAGAACAGCACTGGAGTCAGCATCTTTCTATTTGCACTAAGAGATCTCAACTCCACCCTTATGTCTGAGCTTCTACCTGACCGGGTGTGGAAGCAACACTGAGGTAGCTTCGGGAGCTCCCACAGTACCATGCTCAACTGACAACTGCCATCACACTTGCAGCTGAATCAGTAAACATGAAGCAGTAATCTGACACAAGGAAGAATTAAGTTACCATAACTGCTTCTTCATATTAATTTTTGAGAAACAGAGCTTCTAGGAGGGACCTTTCTCAAGAAATGTCATTTAACTTCTTCTCATCACATTCAGGGCACACTACACCTTGTTACTGAACCTCAGCAGTGGATAACCACTGGCAGCTCTTTTCTTCTATCCTTCCTTGCACAAGGCTGGCAGTCAGACAGCTGTCCATTCAGTAAGCCTGAGGCCTTGCACAATCACATTTGCTCCAAGCATTCAGTGTGCTGATTTTCATTCCAGCAGAGTTTCTGCATGCTAGGCACTGAAAGGCATACAGAAGAGTAGGCAGTACTGTATCAGAGCCTGTACTCAGAACTAAATGCAATACTCACAGTGCAAACAAAAGTGGGATCCATCATCTCTGCCAAGAGTTGCACAACCACGGGTTCATACTGTTCCACAAACTGAACACACTGTAACAAAACACAGGTTGAGAGATTCTCCTGTTAAAGCCTTAGAAAGAAGAGGAAGATACGCTCTTCAGCAGGCAGGCCTGTACACTACTCCAAACACCCCCAATACTACACTCCAAACTGATAAACCAGAGGCTTGAGCTCTACAGATCGAAAAGGACTCAGCATTGCACCAATCACACAACTACATCATTTTTTGCTAGCTCATACCTGCCTGCAGCTGTCTGCAGACAGGTTATGATGAGAAAGGGGTCAAAAGGAAAAGAAGCAAGCAGGACAGACTTTGGGAAAAGAACCAAGCAGGGCAGGCTTTGATTTGCAAAGTCTAGTCTCTAATTGTGGAAATCACTGCTGTCTCAAGAGGAAAGCACACTGAAGGAGCTGGAGACAAACATCCTGAACAGGACGGCAGCAATGCAGTAATGACTCTTAAGCACTTTTAGCCCAAGTAGTTACTATTCGCTTCAGACCAGGCAGCGGCACAAACGCTTCCTGTCAGTAACAGTCAGCCCTCTAGTGGAGAGGCCATCTCCAAAGCACAGAATGATATTGGTGTTCTCAGCAGAGACTAACGGCGCCGATTAATAAGCAAACCACAGCTATTAAACAGCCTCACAGCAGTTAAGTAGGAATAGCTGTTTCATAGCTGCTTTAAGCCTGTCTATTGTATACCTAGGAAACTTACAAGCAGTTGCCACTTGCTGACACTCAGCAGCCACCTAATAAGATTTCCAGGTAAATCTTGATAGCAGTGGCCTAACAGGTGTTGCTTTTTGCCGTCTCACTGGAATTATGCCAGCCTACTTCCAGTTACTTTGCTAATCCCCTGAACAGGATCAATGTTGAGGAAAAAAAAACCCTTCAGCTGTTCCCACCCACTGTTCACAGAGTACTTCCAGGCAAACCTTTACTGACTGCAAATTAGTACAACAATCCAGCCGGTCAATTCAGGCCCTTAAAAGTCTCCATCTGTTCAGAGGACTGCCAACCCCCAAGGATGGGGAGTGCAAAAACCTAATCCCCCTGCACCCCAAACTCCTTCCAGCATCTAGCAGAGGAAGACTGACTATTCTTACAAAAGCCACCAAGAGGTGCTGCTCTCTAGTATTTTTTGCAAATACTCTGCAAGATGTTTTGTCCTTCTGTTCGCCTCTATCTGCCTTGTTCTGACTGGAAAGCAGGATGCCACACAGCAAGGCCCATGTGGTCGTTTGACTGTCTCAGATCAAGCCTGCTCCCTCTTTTTTGCTCTACTGCACCTAAGAAGCTGCTACGCTTCGGTGCTAACTAGTAAAGGGAAAAACCTAGGAAGGATCAAGTTGCTGAACACAAGCCAGTTCCAGCTGCACCTGTGGACAGTTTGTCTCCAGCCAGAGGCCAAGGCAGTTGGCCAAACACAGAGACCTCTATTATGAGTACCTGGACATTTATAGCAGAAGTAGAGACACTTGAGAGACGGACCTAGACAGAATATCAGGTGAAACTCTCAGAAAATGAGGTAAGCATAACTGTTACTGTAGGACCTACTTAAACCCAACAAATCAACAAGGACAGTTCCCAACAATCAACAAGACCATTGCTTTTCAGCCTGCCTCCTGCACAAGTGCTTTACCTGATCACTGACAGACTCTGGCAGGAAGTGACAGACTTTTTCCAGTAAAGCTTCAATTTCAGCTGTCGTGGCATTCTTCTCTAGTTCTTTGTCTGCATAAGCTACCACCATCTTGCAGATATCACAGAAGCCACCTGCAGGTTTCACTAAAACTGAGAAAGGAAAAAAACAAACAAAAAATGCACAAACACCACTGCTTAGGTAGTTCCCACAAATAAAAGAAATGAGGCAGCATCAGCAAAGTACTAAAGCATGTGTCCTCAAAAGACAGATAATCATAGGAGAACTAGCTCATTTTGCAACACCACCGACTCCTCATTACCAACCTGGCTGCTGTGAAGGCTTGCTGGCTGCACAGCATTTCAGCATAACACACACAGCTTCAGGATTCGTTGCCTCCAAGAGCATGTCAATCAAAGCCTGGCCGTAGACATCTATGAAGTCCTTACACTGGTCTTTGACACTCGCTGGGAACAGGTAGCAGATCACCTCCATTTCATGCACAATCTCCTCCTGAAGCACAATGAAGGATGTGTGGTAAGTGAGGAACAGAAATCTGACTCAGTTCACAAGCACGTGTTTTCTTACTCCCTCCCACCCAGGATGGAAATCTTGCTTTCATGAAAAGGGCAATAAAATTAACTTTCCCTCCCCCTCCAATACAGCCCCATTTTAGCCAAAGCCTAGGATGAGGTACCATTTCCACCACTTACACACCTCTGTCTTGTTGCTCTCCAAGAGGCCAGTCACTTCTTTCACCATGGTCTCACATATTTCACACAAGGAAAAAGTTTTCTCTTGAACTGAGGCCTTCTGAGTACACAGAAGAAACATACAAAATGATAAAGCAGCACTTGACCACATTTGACAGGAACAATTTGTAAAAGATCAGTCTAAGAGCATTCACATTCAGGTGTAGCACACCAATTCATTTACCTAGCTGGCCAGTTTGAGCTGAATTCTAAAGGTCACTCAGAACCCAAAACCAACCTCAAAGGTCTCAGTAAAAAGCCTTTCTGAATGAATTTTGTATGACTAATTAAGACTGTAACGCCCAGGTTGTATAAGGAGGGGAGTTGAATTTAATAGACACGGAGAAATAAGCAGCCCCACGGTGACTGGAGTCAAGGGAAATATGAATTGTTTTTTCAAATACATTGAGGAGAGCACCCTCCTGTTTGGGGGAAAAAAAAAAAAAAACCAACCTAGAAATTGAGGGACTTGAGGGAAATTGTTTGGAGCCTGAGGAAGTTACTGTCCTCAAAAGAGACTTTCCTTCCCAAAAAAACCTCAGCCCATGTCTCACCCAAAGGCCATGGGAAGCTAAGGTGCTTCTCCAAACTCAGAGCTTCAGCATTCTGACTCTGATCACTCATCTGCACATGCAGAGTGCTGTCCCTTTTTTAAAAGGGATCAAAGCATAACTCCAAATGTAGAGCAAAACTCAAACTCAGTAATTTGCCCTCTAACATTTGAGGTGTCATTTAGAATGGCTGCTATACTCTACTGAAGGAACAAGAGTTCCCATTTCAATCCTGAAGCATTACCCTTATAGCTTCGGTTTAGCATAGGCTCTGCTCTTCTAACAAACCAGTAAGCTCTCCTACTGCATAGATGAGCATCAGAAACAAGAAGAGGCCAGGAATTTATATGCAGAGAGACTTGGATTATTCTATGCATAAAAGTTCCTGTTCTTCTGTTTCACCTAGCTCATTACACTAACAGAAAAAGGAAGGCAAAGCTGTTCAAGTACAAAAAGTCTATCTTACCTCCACAGTTTCCATTTTCACTTCATGAACCACTTGAGCTGGCACCAGAGTCTGAAGGGGAACAGATTTCACTGAAGGACAGAACCCAACCATGGCACAAATATCCTTTGGTTGCTGCAAAGAGATGTATAAGCAATTTTTTTTAAAGTCTAGAAGACTCTGCCCTTTCTATGGAGCCTGTAAGCAGGCACAGAGAACGAAGTTCTAAAAGGCTCCAACACAACTAGAAGTTTCATGACTACTTCTACTTCAAGTATTGGCAAAGCATTTGGTATGGTTATAGGCAGGACAACTACCAGATGAAATTTAGCAATTCCTTTAAAAGAGGAAGAGGTTAGGCCACAACCATTTAAAAACCCCATTTACCATGAGCTAATAATACACTACGCAAGCCCTTCAAAGGAGTTGACTTAAGAGCTACCAACACCAAAACAGGCCACCAGCATCACATTAGACCTGCATCTGCAAAGCTGCTCCCCTGAAAGCTTGAAGTAATCACAGAAGAGGCTAATTATTCTGACTTGAGTTCACCCAAAAGCTGAAAGAAATGCCTAGAAGAAAGGACTCCTTCTCCCATCCACAAACTACCTTCTTTAAAGCATCCAGTAACATCACATTTTGCAAACAGATTCCCGCATTACTGAACGCAGCCTATAAGAAGCAAAAAGTTATCATGTTATAATTTAAGCCTAACCTTTTTTACAAGTATCTGCAGTCACTCTATTTCAAGTGTTCTTTTCACATTAAGAGGGAAAACGGCAAACAGAAACAAAGCCTGTAAAAAAGCTTTCTAAGTCTTTCTCAAAGGTTTTAGAAACATGCACTACTAAATGCAAAAGTAAATGCCAGACATTAGGCAAACTGCTCTAAGGAGGCCACATTATACCCGCACAAAGTGAGAAAGGCTGTACAGAGTAATACACAAAACTTGAGTTTTCCCACCTGAAGTCTACCTAAGCTAAAAAAAGTTACCTTTGGTCCTACAGGTAATTAGATGATCATACCCCACCCTGTCACCAGGGCATCAAGCTTCTTACAGCAGAGGCGTGTGTATGCAACAGTTAATATGTCATGCCACAACCTCATGCACAGGCAAAAACAGTATCTCAAAGACACAATGCTGCTTCAGACTACTCCAGGCAGTACCTTTAAGTCAAGCCCTTTAGTTCATGCATTGTAAGAAGCATTTCCAGATATTAATGGTACAGCAACACCCACATACACACAACATGTTCTCTCACAGAGAGATGACAGACACAAGGTCTCCCAGGACTGGTTAAATTAAAAGCCCAAATAGCTCTAGGAAGCAGGAGCCTAAAGGCCTCCTGCGTCTCCTTTTCAGTTCATATACTCCAAATATCTATATATCTAGTTGTCCTAGATTTAAAGGTTAACCAAGAAAAGACCCAGGGACAGCTTCACTCAAGCACTTTTGAGCCCAGACTTGAAACCAGAAGCTGACAGGAGCCACCGGCATGCTTTTTCTACATCTAATCCTTCTTGTAAGAAAGCGAGCATATTTTCTGCTCCACTGGCCAAAGCATTATCAAGCTGAAATCTTAGTAGCAAAAAGTGCTATCTGGAGCTGGAAGTAGGACTGATCCACTGGATGAAGTCTAGTCTTTCTCTGGTTTAACCACATAAATATCCCTTGTATCTGTCAACACTGAGTACAGTCACACCATGTACACAGCTAATAGAGCAAGAAGTGAACTACAAGCAGGCTATCACCACAGGCAAGTTGCTCACCTACCTGATCCTTCTGTTGACAGGGGAGATTGGAGACAGAGGAAGAGAGGAGAAATTAAAGATAACAGTTAAGAGAAAAAAAATGTCAAGCACTTGGAACCGCATATACTCTTTCCATGAAGACGATGGAACATGACATGGTCCCCACCCCAAAGATCCTTAGCACTGCTACAGCAACTCACATTTAATTGCACAGTGCTAACCAGCATTATTCATTTGAAGTTATTAAAGCATCCTGGGCAAGACTACCTCCAAAGAGTCTGAACAACACTCAGCCGGATGCAACGTGTGGTCATATGCCAGTTTCAGGTATTAGCAACACACTGTATTGCAATGCTTAAAATGAGAAACTAACTGTTGTTGGAACAAAGATTTGCTTCACCCCACAAAAAGCTTAAGAAGCAGTATAAGCTTCTAAGTAGCCTTTAGCAACTGGAAACAAAAAAAGGCCACTGTGTTGCCAAATTCAGGGTCAAGTCAGACCCATATTCTATTCATGAATTCACCTATCATTTGTTATGTTACTTGTGGCATCCAGGCACTGCATTCTCTAAGGAAAGGCTTACCTTTTATTTTTTTAAAGGCTTTGAGATCTCTGGATAAAGAGGTGCTATGGAGGTGGTCAGAGTAAAAACGTATTGTATGTTGCTGCAGAAGACCAGAGCTAGTACAGTACCACTCACTTTCCATGGCTCCTATCAAGAGCTCAGAGAGCAGGAGTCTTGAGATAGCAATTCCAGAAGAAGGATGTTTAGTCTTGCTTCAAATTGACACATTATCTCTAACACTTGAACCAATTTTGCAATACTGTGACAAAGACCGACTCTAATATGCTTAACACGGTATTTGGTGGGGCAGGGGAAGTGGTGTAAGTACAGGACTGAGATAAAAGAGTATAAAGGAACATATGTAATGTACCTTCTGTGTTTCAAAGGATTAGTGTGCCTTTTGCACCACTGAAGTGGTTGTGAAAGAAAAGGAAAGTGCTAAAGAAAGCATTCTGAGACTGAAGTTACTACCCAATTAAATGCCAAGTTCAAAGCATTAACACCAAGACTTACAGAGCAAGGGTTCTCCCCAGACTTTTACTGCAGTAAATGTTTCCTGCTTCCAAATAAGTTAGCTACACAAAGCAGAAAAGTGAACTGAGAGCAAATATTATATTCTACTGATCTTACCATGTGCATCATCATTTGGATAGCCAAGTCAGAATATTCAGAGATATAGTTCTTGCACTGCAGGAAGTAGGAAAAGAAAGTACTGTAAATATCAAACCACTTAAGCTATAGAGTTAATCTAGAATTTTCTAATACATCTCAAGGTATTAATTTACCTGCTCTACTTAACTATTCTGCTGTCTTTCAGAGCTTGTCCCAAATATTTCAGGTTACACAATCACTGTATACATAGCTGCTTATCTGATGAGGCCTTTTCTCTTCCTCTCAGGGCAAAAGCACTGCCCCTTCATTGATATGACCACATTACCCTGCCAGATCATCTTTATGAAAAAGGCCTTTAAGGGCTAGCAGCCATCTTGAGTCTTTTTCTTCCTCCCCAGTCCCATACACACCACCCCACCCAACTTGACCAGAAAGTTTACAGTTTCGATGTTGTTACTGTTATACCGTGTAACATATCCTACATGTGACACACTATTTTATTAAATAGAGATCACATTCAGAGGATTAAGGCACCGAACAAACTATTTTATGTTTGCATACAGGAACAGATTTTTAAACAAAAGAGATAGCTTACCATATCAGACATTCCAGGTCCCAAACGGTCACACTCCTCCTTGGCATGAGCAACCAAAGACTTTACAAAAGATGAGTTTGTCCTCACAGCTTCCTGAACATCAGTAACCAGCTGAATGCAGTCTTGGCATACATCCCCACTTCCCTGGACAAAAGAGTGAAAGGAAACTTAAGTTGACATATCTTCATGCAACACGTTTTAGAAGCTTCCGTTTTAAGAGCTATTTTAAACTATACACAAACCTTAATAAATACTCTATAGAGAATACTCAAAAGCCTGAGCTTCTTGAAAGTTGAATAGCTATTCCTGAATAGACAAGCTACTGCCAGTATGCGCACCAGCCACTAGATGGAGATTAGGTACCTACTTGGCTCTGAAACCCGAGATAACTGTTAAGATACCCAATCTCCAAAATCTGTTGGTTTTGTTACAGACCACAGTGGGAAGGTCTCTAAAATTGGCATAGATCTTACCTGCTCCACCCACAGCAGCTTGTTCTGCACCCACTCAACTGTTTAACTCCCATATCTAGGCTTGCTATCAAGACGCAGCCTCTACTCACAAGTTCATTGTCTCATCTACTCCCCTTTGTCAACTATTTGTTCTTTTCTGATCCAGTCTGTCACCTTTGGATTCAGAGACGAATGCCTCCCCTGAAGGGTACAGCTAGCAGATTACTCAGAATGTGGGAGAATTCTTCCTTTGAACATTGGTGCCAAACTTGCTCTCAGAAGAAATTGTTTCCAGTAAGACCTGCTTGACTACTACAGTCCTGAATGAGAACAACCCAGCACAAAACTAGTCTTTATAGACTGCGGTTGTTAATCCAAGACTATACATATGCTTCACTGGGGCTGCAGCTATCATCTTACTTAGCTTTAAACTCACAGGTTATGGGAAGAGGTAGCTGTCTGTATGGAGCAGCACAAAATTCAATAGGAGACAGTCACCCAGCTGAAGCACATCAGCTTAATGTGAGCCCAGTACCACAATCCCTTACCAAGTATCATCAGTAAGTTCTTACACAAAGGAGCACTGAAGCTCTGGAGCAAAAAACACACACTTCTCTTGCACACTGGAATAGCATTGCACCCTTACCTTAGACTTCTGCTTGGGTTTGTCCTGAGGGTAAAGAAGAAGAGGCACATTAGCCATGAATGGGGATGCCAGTTCAGAGAAGTCCAGCTCCGGTATCTTATTGGACTGGAGCTGTTTCTGAAGTTTCATTGCTGCAAGGTGCTTCTGAAGGGACTGGCACAGTGCGAGGGCACTACATACAACTTCAGGTTTGTCCTAGGGGAGAAAAGATACATACGTAAAGCTCTAGACTGATGGCACTGTTGTATGAAGTTCAGAGTAGAGAGTCATTCAGCTGAAACATGGTAGGAAGGGAAAATATTTCACAGCAAGGAAGCAGTCTTCAAATTTACACCATTAATTGCAACACCAGTGATCCATACAGGATTAAAGGACCATATGCACAATCTTACATAGAAGAGAAATTCAGGCATCAAGAGGAGCACAATTTTTTATTACAACAGTTGCAAATTATCTACTTACTAGCTCTTCCTTGATCATATCCATGATAACTGGTAGGTAGGAATCCACAATTTCTTTGCACTCAGAGACCAGGCCTTGGTCAGGAAGAAACTCACATGTCTTTTCCAAGTAAGAGCGGATCTCATCCTATAAAAGATGAGGTGAGCTATAGACTATCAAAATATCTCTCTTTCTCAAATGCCCTTTCCATTCCCAAAATGCACAACACAAAGCCTAAAAAAAGCCCCTTGGACTCAGGTAGCTCCAGGCAGTTGACAAGCAAAACCAGAATGAGGTTTTACATTATAGGTCTATTCTCCCCAGTCCTGGACCTTCGATGAGACCCTGTCAAAGTGAAAACATGAAATACTGCCTGCACAACACAATCTTGCCAGCATAGAACATTTACATTTAGGAAGAGGAACTGAAATTATGGACTAGTGGGACAGTGATTTGTTTACACAAAGTACTCCTAAGGTTCACAAAAGAAAAAGGGAAGAAGTGCCCACAACCAAAATGAAGTCTACTTGGTGTAATCACCCACTTCTAGAGACTGCAGTATCCCACCTTTTAAGATCGATGGCCCACTGGCACAAGAATAATTTTATTAAGCATCTACAGTCAGTCAGGGATGTGTCAGAGCATGAGAGACTCCCGAATTTGCTAATCTCTAAACCAGAAGAGGCTGTTTAAAAGCCTTCTCCCATATACTCTGGCCCCTTTCAACATTTGCTGCTTAGGCTGGGAAAACATCACACAGACTACTCTTTCACCCCCTCACACTGGGCTCTTGTTAAGACAATGAAATCAAATACTGCCTTGGGGCAAGGAGAAAGGGAGCTTTGCTTACCTCAGTACCATTATCCTTCAAAACCTTGCCAGCCACTGTCACAAGTTCCTTACACAAGTCACAGGGGATACTGTTCTGGAGAGATATGTAGAGAGTTACTTGGAGACAAAATTAAGTACCTGTAAATGCAGTGTGTGAATAACAAGCATCACATTTGGAATTGAAGTTAAGGAAGGAATACTGGCTGAAGCCAGGGTGGAAAGAGGTGGTTTTTAAATAAGGAGTAAGGCTATTCCAAGCATGTCCAGCTCCAGTTTCTTCAGTAAATCAACATGGTATGAAGAATCAGGCATGTTACCACTTGCTCATTTCACCTAGTCCCACCTCCTTTGAAGTATAAAGTACATTGCCCCAAGAAGCCTTCTCCTGAACCTCTTCTACCTTACACTTCAAAGAGTTCATACATACTAGAAATCTAAGAACTTTTCAGACAGCTTCACTCATTTCAGTTGTGCTCTGCCATTCTGACATTCCTCCTTTCCCCTGTTTTTCCACAAACTGAAACTGAAACATACCTCAGCACAGATATAGCCAAGGTGGACAGAATGTGTCCAAGTAAAATGCCTTTATCCCCTAGAGAACTGTGAAACAATACCACAAATTACAGCTACATCTAGTAAAGCAGCACTCACATTTAGTGCAAATGCAACTTGAAAAGCCACACTGAACGTGACATTTGTACCATTATTTACTGTCATGGCTTTCAAAATTTAGCATATGTTGCATCTTTTGTGGAACATTAACTTATGAGAAAGACCTAAAGAAGCACAAAGCTTTATTTGTAATGAGCCTATCAGGTTGGCATTGCTCAAGTTAAGAGTAAGAAAAATGTGAATTAGGAGTTGGTTTAATAAAGAGGAACGAGTCTGAAATCCACTAGTTCCATTCCACACGTTGCTTAGTGATTGTGCAACAGGTCACAGGAGAAGTCAGCAGACAAGTTGTGCAAGGCAGAGAAGTGGAAAGCAACCTTTATCTAGCACCCAAATTAAGGCATAGTAACCAAGGCATAGTCAGATGTAGCACTTAAGTCTGATCAGAGACTTGAATAAAAAATTTCATCAGCATATGGAAACCAGCTACCTCAACTACAGGTGGGAAGAAGTCTCAGTAGCTGATACTTACTACAGTAGGCTTGTTCCAGACATTCTGCTGGCAGTGTTTCACCGCTCCGCACTGTGATGCTGTCCGAACACTCTGACACCATACCTCTGGACCCTTCACACAGTCCTTCTGCCACAGAACAGGGCTTGCCACAGCTGCCAAAAAAAGAATCATTCTTTCACAGTTGCACACTTGAATGACTTCCACTCCAAAGCAAGCAGGTTAATGCTGTACAGTATATCCACAACCTCTCCAGTATGCCACTTAAGTTTACTAACATTTTTAAGCACATTTCAATCCAGCAATTTCTGACCTGCAACATAAGAATGAGTCCCAAATACAGATTACACAGCCAAAGAACTCAGAAAAACCGTAACAGTTGAACTTCCCTACTGAAGTGGATTTTATAAAACAAAATTAAAACAAAACCCCACTTTGCTTAGCACACAAAAACTACCAGCTGACTTGAAACAGAGAAACTTCTCATTACAGAAATCTACACTTCAGACAGCTGATTCCCAAAGCTACAACCCCACTATTGTCCCATCCTACTGTCCTTGCAGTCACTTCAACTCTGAATGAGCAGTCACATCTAGCTTGTAATTGTTGCCTGCATTCCTTCTCCCAGGTAAACCACCCTTTTCTCATATAGCAACTGAGAGAGCCGGGAAACTAACTGGATTAGAATCCACAACAAGTCCTCCATGTAATGTGTGCATTAAGAGCCAGGGGCAGACCAAAACACTAATTATAAAACAGAAAGTTTCAAGAAAATCAAAGCAAAAGAGGAACAGAAAACAATGAGACATGTTCTATCATATAGTTTTTAAACCCATTAAATCTGTTTAGACTTTGTTTCCTCTTGGTCAGTTCTTGAACTGTGTGCAGAAAAATTTGTGGGGGTGAAAAAAAGTACAAGTCCTTGTCTGAACATTACCTCCCACCCCACATGGAATTGCCTTGCAACCTGTAAAGCTTTGAAGTAAAACACAGAATACCATTTCTGGACAGTCTTCCTAAAGAAACATAAAAGATCTGGACTATTAGTAAGTAATAGGACAAATTAATCAACAGCACCTTTTAGCTGACTCTTCAAGGGGGTTTTTTTGTTTGTTTTTTTAATTGTGCTGTCTGGACTGCACATCCAACTTCTCCCAGTTTTCTAAAACCATCCTATCTGTCAGCAGGCTCAGTTTCTTTAGCAACCTCCTACATTGCACTAACCTATGAAGAAACAACTCCTAAAATCCTACCACAGACAGGCTCCAAGGAAATCTGCTGCTTACAAGGCACTGCTGTCAAAGTTTTAGGAAAAAAAAAAAATAAATTGCCCATTCAAACCTATTAGCTGTATAGGTGTTGTTTAGGAGTCATTATCTCCACATCAATGCTGTTTACACATCACAAAATGCTGTAAAATTACATTGTCAACCAAGAAGCAGGAATTAAGCTGTTTGATTCCTACGAAGCTTCTAGTAAGGTTATGACAGATGACAATCACTCTTCCATTTCTCACATCTCAGTTCTAAGCAATTAGAGGATCAACTTAATGGCTAAATTACCAGTGCATCTGCTAGGTACATAGCCACTACACATCAGAGACAGATAAACACTGCTTTATAGCTAGCATTCTGCAGCCTTCTCAGCTGTTGATTTATAAAGCCTGTTTACACTGGATTTCAGAGGAATAACCCATTTATTTTAAGAAAAATGTGCTTTGCATGCTTGATTTTTCTACACAAGAGCTTGAAGTTTGCCACCCTCTCTCCCAGCAAAAAGCCTCGATTGCGTATTACTCCTCAGCAAGACAGCACACTAGGACTGCTGGAATAAGGACCCTAGGAGTAAGATTTCAAACCTTCTAATAATGTAGGGTTAGCAAAATATTTACAGATGGCCTATTTTAAATTACAGCATTATTGATCTGGAAGCACCAAGCATACTTAAGTATCAGTCAGACTGGTCAACCAAATAGCTGTCAGCTCTGGCAGGATGACAATAAACAAGTATACACTTGGCTGAGCAAAAGAGTTATTCTTCCCTTTCAGATACTGGTATTAACACTAGTAGGAAGGCTCTGCAAGGCAGAGTGAAGCTCTGGCTAAAGTCAAGCAAGACCTTGACTTTAAAGAGTGGAATTAAAGGGCTTCTGACTATTTACAAGTATAGCTTTTAACCTATGCCTTTAGATCTGTAAATCAAAAAAATTACGCCCCCTCCCCTGTTTGAAACATACTGTAAAACTAAACTATAAAACTACAACAACAGTTATTCCAAGCAGTTTCTCAAACTCTTGATCTGAGAGGCCGTTTAAAACCCAAACTGAGGAATACATGCTGTAACTTGCACTGGTTTGATCTAGCTCTTAATGAACTTTCAGGTTTTGTGTGGCTTTTTACTTTAAGATCCTATCACTGCATGACTTTTCAGAGCCATACCCAGTTTCGGCAGAATGTCTAACAGCTAGTCGTGTTCCTTCTGCCTCATAGCCTCTGACCAGGTCATTAAAACCACATGACAAAATAAATACTATGCTTCAGATTTACATTTATTTATCAGCTTTTTTGGCTGTACATCTTTAACATTGCCTGCTGCATGGCTTCTGTATCAAACAGGTGCTCACACACAGTCAGTCACTAATGCTCTGACTTGCCAGGACACAGCAAGTGGTATGGGCAGGGCAGCAGGGTTTTGTCAGGTTACAACACTGGGGTGGAAGAAAACCAAAAAGCAAGGCAGTAGTCTGAGACCTTTTGAGGTGAGCAGAGTGCAGGTTGCAGATAATTCTACTCAGATGGGGGGGGGGGGGGGGGGGGGGTCTGAAAATTAGATTGATTTTTGACAATACATCAACTACTTGATGCCTCTGATTGCGCTGCTTCCCTGCATCATGTCTCACCAGTTTGGAAGGAGAAAAGGTTAATTTCTCAGAAGAGACGTACACAGCCATATTCTGTTCAAAGCACCATCACTGGGCACACAGTCACTTCAGATTTGAGAACAAGGACACTAATTTTATCTGCAATCCTCTACAGAAGACCAAAACCACAAAATCTCAGAAGAGCTCAAGATCAGGAATGAGAAGTATCAAACTGTTCATAAGCCAGTGAACACTGAAAACTAGGTTTTGGATGCAAGTAAGCACCCCAAACACCTTCCCATAGGTATTATTTAAAGTCCTCACTCCTGCACGACATCAGAGCAAGATGAAATACCAATATAACTACATGACTCTCCTGTCAAAAAAGCCAGGAAAATCCAACTCAGCTATGCCATGAGGATGAACACTTACCTACAGAAAACAGAAAAATGGAGGAACAGCAGTGTCCTCTCAGTTACAAAGGACACTGGGAAGTTCCTTCCTTCTGAGGAGACAACTCTACATTTGATGTTTTCAGTACAGACCTTTCTGGTCAAACAGTGACTAGGCAAATTTGTTTGTTAGGGCCACACACCACTGGCACATTTTAGAAAGCAGCTACAGAACAAAGACAACGCGCACTAAGCATAGCCTTTCTTCCATCTTCCACAGTAACTTTAAATATAGTTAAGCTTGTATTAGTTTATTCTGTATTATGTTGAAATTTTATTACATAACGCAATGTCTAATATGAAAGGATGCACCTTCATTGCAACAGCATCCACCCTCCCTTTCTGAATGTCCTAGGAAAAACAAACAAAACTAAAAACCTCTGCATTAATTCAGATCTTGCAGATTGAGAAAATAGCCTGAAATGCTTTACTGTTCCCACTACTTTTTCCCTTTAGCTTGTTCTCCTATTTAATTATGAAACAGCATTTTTTCTCATATATTAACTTATGTTACAACAAAAGCAAGTATGTCAGTGAAGTGTGTTAAGACATTGTGCTGTTTCACAACAGAATGAACAGTTTTGAATCTAACAGCTATCTTGCCTGTTCCCTCAAAATAGCCTCTGCTACAAGAAGAGTGACACCTTAATGTGGTATTTCACATCCCCAGCACAGCTGCAACCCAAGAGAAAACAAAGCACTGTTGGTTACCTCACACAACTCTTAATGCTTGTTGTATAAACCCAATGGGATTACCTTCTTAGTTATCTCTGGCATCCCTTTATTTTATATATTGCTCTTGATCTAAGGTCATCCATTTTTAAACAGATTTCTCCTTTCTCTGTAGATTAGCTCTCAACAGTCACATGTCATGCCCACCCAAACCTGCCCCCCCTCCCCCAAAGTTCTTACAAGCCACTGTTTTTAGAGCACCAAACAAGTATATCTGTGAAGGCCAGGGTGCTTCTTTACTTGTCCTCTTCACTGGTTCCTCCCTGCTTGAACTGCTTCAGAGATGTGGTTTCTTCAATTTTAGAAGGAACAGTCTTTGCTCCATCAAGTTTTTCATAAATTAAGCAGTGAAAGAAAATGGAGAAGGAAGGAGAAGAGGGCATAGAAATGCAATCCACATATAAAGGGTATGTGTTTCAGATGTGAAGGTCTTCAGCTTTTGGGCTTCTAGCCAAGCTTACAGCCCACAGGCACCCTAGGATCCTTGCATACACTTGCAGCTTCTCAAAACAAAATTAAAAAAAAAAAAGAGAGAAGAGAGATTCATACCCACCCTGACCTCTCTGATGCTTGTCTTTGACAGACAAGAGAAGTCATCTCCCAGAACATGCATTGCCTCAGAAACACAGCCTGAAGCCCGACAACATAACCAAAATACTCCAAAAAGCTGAAGGGTAACAGCAGAAAAAGGAAGGAGAAACCTTTTCTTTGAGGCCCTGGTCAGCAAACTAACATTGCCAGAACACCAGTAACACAGTCCTGACAAGTGACAGCTACTTGCACATTGCATGGGGCTCTGCCAGGAATTCACACAAAAAACAGTTTAAATGCTGTAAAGGGAAACCTGGAACTCACTCTCACAGTGGTACTATCCTACTTCAGCAAGTATGCATTACTCCCAGACACTTCTTCAAAGCAGGAATTGCTATCACCTCCTTCCTCAACACTAGACATGGGGAATGGAAACACTAACATATGGTCAGAAGTTACAGAAGTAGAGGTGACAGCCCCCTCAGACAATACCACCTTTTCTACCTACAAAGCTTACAGAGCCATGCACATGAAAGCACAGTTCAGTTCTTCAGGAACCTAAAAGAAAGCTTATAATGGC